TGTGTGTGTGTGTGTGTGTGTGTGTGTGTGTGTGTGTGTGTGTGTGTTTGTGTGTGTACACCTCTCCCTCCTCCAAGCGCACACACAAATTCCATAGCAGTGAGCGGAGCTGGTTTTCTTGGCAACACAAGGGCCTTGGGTTCCACAGCTCTGGGAGGGGCTCTGAGGGGTGCCGAAGGGAACTCTGGAAGGGGTGACTGATCCCCTTCGCATAAGATTAGGACCTGCCAGTGGTCAGGAATGACTTTAGGCACTTGCCCAAGAGAGCTGTCTGCCAGGGGTGGTGTGGGGGGGAACTACTTCCTGAGGCTAACTGGAGCCCCACTTTCCTGGTTCTTCCCTAGGACTTATCCCAATCACCAGGGCTGGGGAGATCTGAAATGGAGGTGTGGGGGAGGGGGTCCTGCCTGGATAGCTCTCTTGGCCCCAGGGCTATCTGCCAGAGGGGACTGGCCCAGGAAAGCATAAGTCTTACAGTGGCTGAGAGATCTTGTGCTCATCTCTTCCACTCGGACCCTCCTGGGACAGCTGCCCTGCACCCGGCACCCTCTCACTCTGCACTCACAGATCCCAGGTGGCTTTTCTGGTGTGCAGCTCCGAGGCTTGGGAAGGTAAGGACAAGCAGTGCCTGCCCCCTCCCGGGCTGGCACGTGTGCTCCTTGGTCCTTTCCTCCCTGGATGGGAGATGCTAGATAATGGTCTGGAGGGAATCCAGCTGGGCTGCTCATTACCAGAGCCCTCTTCCTGCCTCTGACACTCTGTTTACAGAAGTTCCCCCGGGGGCTGATTCCCCTGGGAGAGGCCAGTAAACTCTAGGGACTGTCCTCCCATCCCCCACCTGCATGCCCCAGCTATGGGGCTGTGCTAACAGCTGGGTCCATACTGGCCTTTACTGCCCATATCAATGGAGCCCCTCACAAAGCTGCAGCCCACCCACTTTCCCAGCACCCAAAACCCTGCCTAGGGGGAAGGGACCTTTAATATTTAGCCAGTCCTCTTCCCCTAGGATTCTTGGTCCAGATAGGGAAGAAGGCTCTCTTAGTGCCTCTTTCTGGAGCCGCACATACGCTCAATGCAAAAAGCACACAAGGGGACCTCCTGACCCTTGGGTTCCTTTTACCCTGCAAAGGCCACTCCTGGGATCCTGGTGTGGAAGCAGTCAGCGACCCTGGTGTGGTAATCGTTAACGAATGGGGGTGAGGTGGTGTGGCTGGCACCAATCAGCTGGCCTGCCAGTGACCACAGGGAACCCAAGCAGCCCTCTGGCCCCAGAGCTGCAAGCTCAGGGACACAAAGGACTAGACTGGCTACAGGCCATTGGGTTTGCAGCCCAAGCAAAGCTCCTTCACTGGTAGAGATGAGATGCTCTGATACTGGAGCACTCAGGGTTCTGGCCAGCCAAAGTCCATGCCTCACCTGGGGGCACACCTATCAGCCTCCCCACCCCCTCCTCTCCAGGGCTGCCATGTGTGTCAAGGCCCAGAGGACCCCAGGCAACCAGTATGCACAGGGGCACCAAACTGTCTGACCCCATGAGGAAAAAGTAGCCAGACTACGGCTGGGCCATCCCCTAAAAGAGGTTTGATTCATAAAACTGGTCACGCCAGAGGGCCCAGCCGTGGGAGGAGGAAGCAAGGGAGGGGGTGTTTATTTTGTCTACTCGGAGCCTCACGGGTAGGTGAGCCATGTACAAAAGCGCAAAACCTGGCCCTCCTGAGGGTCAACTGAGGCCCCGAACCCACTCGGGGAGGGGGGTGCAACTGGACGTGCTGCCTAGGTAATCGCCCGAGACGGGGGGGGGGGGGGGCTCTCTCCCGCAGCCGCAGTCCCACCGAAGAATGTGTGCTAGTGTGCAGGGCGAGTGTGATCAACCCCGCCTGTCGCCCCCACCCTTGCCCCTAGACACTCACCGGGAGGCGGCAGCAGCGGCCGAGGGAGCCGGGCGGTGCGGCCCAAGGCCTCAGTGGGGCCTCAGTCCTTCCCCCTCCGGCAGATCCTGAGAAGTCCGTGTCCCCGGGGTCCGGAGGCTGCGGTGTCGGCGTCTCCCAGCCCCGGGCTCCGGCTCCGAAGTTAGCTCCTAGGAGGCTGGTCCCTCCTTAAGATGTGGGGGGGTGGGACCGTCTCCACCGAGGGCGGGGCTTTCCCCCATTGGCTGAGGCGGGGTTTGGTCGAGCCTACACACACCCACCTCTGCTGACCGGCTCATTGCACCGTGCAGGCCCGGTCTGCACCTCCAGATCCCAATGAGAAGAGATTTTATTAGGCTGGCTAAAGTCAATCCTTAGTTTGCTGTGTGACATTGGACAGGTTCCTGCTTTTTAATTAAAAAGCAAATAGTGACACAAATTAAAGAAGTGGACGTTAGGGCCCATGTAGATCTGGAGAAGCAAGATAGAAGGGGTCAGCAAGGGTGAGGGGCTTAGTCCCCATGACCAGCCAATCTGCCAAAACTGGATTTTTTTTTTCATACAAATCTAAATTTTTAGGTGTAATCTCACAATGTGTTATTGTTGGTAGCTAATCCCAATCTCAAAAGCTAGAAAGGCCACATGAAGTGCTTCCAAGAGCCTCTTATGTAAAATCTCTAATGCTGGATTTGGGATCCTTGTAGCCATGACAGCATCCCTGGCCACCTTCCCCAGCTTTAAGTGAAACACTGAGACCTAGAAACAGATGTCGCTCAAACCCCTACAGTTGCTGGAAGCTTCAGGACCAGAATATGCCTGGGATGGGAAGCAGGGTTGGGGACATCGTCAACAATAGGAGGGACCTAGTATTTGCTGACAGTGGCCCTTGATTGAGCAGGAGGGGCGGCTGCCAGGGACTAGTTTAGAAAAATCCCCTGCCTTGTAGGATTCCAGGAAAATGATCGGCCTCTACCCCCCCCCCCCCCACACACACACACAGTCTGTGGTTAGCGTGATGCCTCAGAGCCTCTGGGGACCCAGCTCAGCTCCCAGATTTCACCATCCTGCCCCTTTTTCGCCTGGCCTGTAGCCAAGGCCTTTGTCCTGCCTCTGCAGAACCCCATCACCAGAAATGAAGGTGGTCTGGGACTGGTCATCAGGAGCTCAGCAGGTCCCTCCCCATACTTGTCCTTGTAAATGTAGAACATCAACACCCCACCCACCCCATCTCACACACACTCCTGTACAGAACTGACCCCGGTTGTTTCATCTGACCCGTGTGGCAGTTTTGAACTTTGAAGTCATTGCCAGAATTGAAAAATCAGGTGGTTTCACATGAAAATGGGGTTTTCTGGCCAGTCTTCAACAGGAAGTCGTCTAAGGTTGAGTGGCAGCTGTCTCTGGCCAGGGTTTGGGTTCACCAGTTACCCCAGGCCCAAATCCTCTGTAAGGCAGGCTCCAAAATCACTGGTTGTTGTGAGTCAGGTCTGTCATCCCAGCTACTCTGGAAAAACTCCGTAAGACCTTTCTCAAAAAAGAAGTCTGAGGGTATATCTCAGTGGTAGACCACTTGAGATAAATAAGACTCTAGATTTACACCCAGTACCAACAAAAGTGAGTGAACACACAGCGCTATGTGACTCAGGCTACCCCAAGCCTCTTCCCATGAGCCATGAGTTCTCTGAGGCCCCATCCTCCCAGAACTCACGGGCAGCTTCTAGTATACCCCAACTTGTCTAGCCTCTTGTTGCTCTCCAGGTACCACCCCTCCAAAGGGCCCCTCAAAGGAAGAGAATGTGGCATGCCTTTGGCCCACGCTGGATGACAGTGACAGATCCATGGGACCTGGACCGCTTTTGATAAGGGGCATTGCCAAGCTGTCTGGGGCCATGGATGGAAGCAACACCAGAGGAGTTCAAGAGCTGCTTTCTCCCAACAAGCCCACCCCTGTCCTTTCACAGGACCATCATAAGGCACTTGGTAGAACTTGTGACATCAGATCAAAGTCACGTCTCACCATCTAGTAGATAACACCATTTCCTCAGTCTTTTGGTTAGGGGTAGCCTCAGGCCTTTGGCTCTCTCTGACTCTGGACTTGGGGTACACACTGGCCTGGTGTCAGAGTAAGAGCCATTCAGGGTGGCAAGCCTAGAGACCATAGCAACAGGAAAGATGTTGACACTGAATCCCTTCCCCTCTGGCCTTCTGTCAAGTCAAGGTATGTCTTCTGCATTCTGGACCCAGATGCAGCTTGGCTCTCTTCACAAGGCCTGGAATCAGGCCTGTGCCAGCTGTTGGCTGATAGTGTTGGGTGCTGTGACCCCATTTCCCTGCCCCTCCTGGCCAGTGGGCAGCAGGATGCTCCTGCCTAGCAGAGATGTCCAGATGGCTCTGCCTGAGGCAAGGAGGACTGGCCTGACCTGTCGGAGGAGCCAGCCCTGCCTTCTATGACTTCCTGCTCCCGCCACCCAACACCTGAGTCAGTGAGCAGGTGCTGAGGGAGTGGGATGAGGGGAGGCCTGGCCAGGCTTCTTCAGGAGGTGGTTTTTGAGAGCTGGTAAACTGCTCCAGTGGAGTTCACGGGGTTCTTCTCACATTCTCTCCCTGTGAGTACGACAGAAGTCCAGAGGCCTGTCCCCCACCTCTGCTCCAGCCCCTATGCTCCTAATTGGTTCCTAATTTTCTGAACCTGAACCTTTTCTTTCTTAGGACTGTGTGACCCCATCTCGGTGCCACCTTGCTCCCACCCTACTTTGTTTAACTCGTACGAACTAGATAGTAGAACAGTTTGCCTAGCATGCATAAGGCCTTGAATTCTGTCCCTAGCTTCACAAAACAAACAAAATAACCACCTTCTCCTAATTGCTTATCACTTCCTAGTGACGGAACTCCTGGTTCACCAAGCTGCTTCATCTGGCCCTGCCCACCTGCGTCTCAGCCATCACCTCACTGGCCAGGTCACTACATACACCACCTTTCCTATCCCTCAAAAGTCCTTAATCCAATATCTACCGTAAGCCTGTGCATGTAATGTTCTCCTTGTCTGGAACTCTATCCCCTGTGATGGCTTTTCCCTCACATTGGAACTGAAGAAACACCCACTCCCTGGTGGCCGAGCTGAGACCACACAGTCCTGCCTACCCCTGCACAACCTCACAGAGCCCTGCTTTCATGTGTTTAGTTACAAGATCGTATCTGCCCTGCAGAGCAGCTGGGTGCCTTCAGGATTGGCATGGGGTCTGTAGCGCTCCCCTTTATTCACATCATCAGGCTGAGCTGGGGGTTGAGCAGAGGCTAGTTCATCAAGGGAATGAAGGGACGATTATAAATGAATAAATGAGTAAAGCCAAATGAAAGCTGCAGGGGTTCTAATGTCAACTCCAGTCTTGCAGGAAGACCCTAAGCCACTTACCACCCTTATCCCTTACCTGCCTTCTACTGTGGCAGGCAGGGGTCAGGATGAGTGGAGAAGGACAGCAGTGAGGCCAGCTTGCCCGGCCATCGTGAGGTAATTAGGGCCTGTATTACTCACAAGTTACCAGCTTAGGCCCTCCAAGAATTGCAGACACTTGGGGGGGGCCCCACCCAGCTCTCCACCCACTCTGTGACTCCTGGCAGAACACTGGTAGGCAGGGGAGGCGGGGCCTGGACAGCCGGCCCTGCTGGGGTACCACAACAGGGATGGAGCACTGTTTGTGAGTGTGTCAGAGGTCAAGGCCAGGAGCAAGTGATACGTTGTCACAGCCAGCAGTTTGGCACAAGCCCCTTAATCCCAGCCAGCACTTGGGAGGCAGAGGCAGTTGGATCTCTTGAGTTTTGAGGGCCAGCCTGGTCTACAAAGCAAGTTCCAGGACAGCTAGGGCTAAACAAAGAAACCCTATGTCAAAAAAAAAAAACAAAACAAAACAAAACAAAAAACCACAAACCAAAAGGCTCTCAAATTCTCCTGACACCCCTCCCTCAGTAGGAGGTCAGGGCAAGGAGATGCTCCCGGGCCTGGGACCTTCATGTGAAGGGCCTCCAGGGCCTAGAGCAGGGAGGTGAGAGTTCTTGGCCAGTGAAAAGGCTGGCCTTGGGTAGGCTCCCAGCCTACTCCAACCCTTTCCCTCCCACCGTGACCTCACTTCAGGAATGTCCTTCCTACTTGCTTGGGTTGTAGCTTAAGGGATTCTATGGAAGCCCAGAAGCCTCAGGAGCCTTTGCCTGGGAGTTGGAGTCAGCCTGCAGTGCCACCTGAGCCTCTAGGATGTATGGTGATAGAGTAGACGGTAGCACCCTGGCCCTGCAGTGGCTAGAGTGAGCTCTACTCTGCCTAGGTTGCACTGGAGGTCAGAGGGTCCTGGTTGGAGCATCTACCCTCCTAACCTTGCTTGTGCTGGTCTCCGAGGCTGGCTGAAGCAATACAGGGTATCATGTATGTATGAGTTCTCATGAGTGCCTGAGTTCCCACTGCCCAGGGCCGGTGCAAGCCCTGCAGGAAAGCAGAATAGCTGGACGTGTGTGGTATGCCTAGCATATGGGCAGTACCAGCAGAAGAGAGTGAGGATCTGTATCCGGTCAGATACAGCTCGAAGGACCTTCCAGGTCCCTGATTTGAGGACTTGCAGCTCTTCTGCCAGCTTTTACCTATCATCCAGCCCACTCCCTCTCTCCCCAGGTCTCTGACACCCCTGCTGGATCCAGACTCTGGGCTATTGGTCCTGGCAGGAAAGGTGAGCAGAAAACTGGATCACCCCTCCCGCTGCCCTCCATATACACGACTCAGACTTTAGGGCCTTGTGCTGTTTTCTTCCTTGCTGTCCCTGAAAGAACAAGTGAGAACAGTGCAGCCCAGTCCCGTGCCATCTTCACCGGGGTTGCCAGGAGGACAGGACCGCAGTGTTGGTATGCTGTTGGCATGCCATAAATGCTGATGTATATCCTTGGTGCTCAGCACGTAAAGTGTGAGGGAAACGAGCAAGTGAGGGAAAGTCTCTCCAGGCGCAGGTCAGCGCCCAGCAGAATCAAGGCTTCTGGGTGGTTGCTGCAGGGCTACAACCCGCCGTCAGGTAGAGCTCAGGCTGTATTTGTTTCAGGGTGAGAACCAGCTGTGCTGCTACGAAGTGACGCCACAGCAGCCTGCACTGAGCCCAGGTGAGCCCTTGCCCT